TATGGAGAGCGGCGCCCATATGTATAACAAGGATAGGGATGTGATGTCAAAGACTGAAGCGCTAAATAAAGCCAAAGAAATTGCTGTTTATTTCAATTGCAGTCAAACACCGGTTAGTTTGCGACGACTAAAAGCTGATGTACTCAACAAATATGTAATGAATTATACGGTTCCCACTCTCGGCACTGAATATCTCCCGGTGTCCGCACACCAGGCCTTTCAGACCAAGCAGTTTAACAAAGGTTTGCATTTCATATAAAATTATTATAAATATAAATTTTGGTTATTATTAATCATAAAGATCTGGAACTGTTGGCCGGTGTGGCCCAACACGAGGGTCCGGCAGTTTTTACCGCCGACTATGGCTATACTCCCAATGACCTGACGGAAAGGGGCTTTCACGCCATCGCACAGACATTTAATGCAAAGTTTCATAATTTAAACGCCGACAATATTACCACGTTTTACATGTCGTCCATAAATAAGTCGGATGCAGATCAGGTCCGGCGCCAACTCTACGACCTCTACGGCAATCTACTCATGAGTCATGACATGTCCGACACATCAGTTTGCCGTCAATTATGGCCAACAGTCGGCCGAATATAATGTATATTTCTATGAGATTACATATAAAAGGACACCGAAGTCGGGTCCGGACGTTATGGGTGTCACTCACGGCTCGGAACTGGACTTTGTATTCGGTTTACCACTCATTGATTCGCAGAAAACTGATACAGAAGTAGACAAACAGTTTAGTCGGGATGTCATGAAAATGTGGACCGATTTTGTTAAATATGGGTAAAAATAGTTTATTGATAATTATTTTGATTATTGAAATTTAAAATTGTATTTTTAAAATGCATTACAAGTAAACCAACTGTCGATTGGCCTAAACTTATTGATAATAAAGTGAAAGATTATGTGCCGAAAGCCAAAGAACTCAATCCATACAGACTTTGGCATAATTTTGACCACTTATTCAACACTACTTGCAATGGCTTTTGGAAACAATATTGGAATTAATTAATCATAAATGGATAGAAAGTAAATAAAATAAATTACGAATATATTACTTATGAAATGTTTAATTATTATTATGAATACTGTTAACATGTTTATTCAATTCGGAATTTGTGACAAACATTTTGCCACAATTATTATGAATACAATTAAAACGTTTTAATTTCAAATGTCTTTTCATGTGATCTTTGAGATTAGATTTTTGGACAAACTTTTTATTACAATCATTGAAATCACAAACAAATGGTTTTTCTCCCGAATGTTTGCGTTTGTGTAGAATTAAACCTTGTTTTGTTATAAATTTTTTGCCACAATTTTCTTCATTACATTTGAATTTCCATTCATTTAAATGAACACAACTTTTGTGTTGAAATAATAATAGTTTTAAAATAAAACTTTTATGGCATTCATTGAAATCACAAATAAATCTCTTGTTTAGATGAACCATATTTTTGTGTTGCCGTAAATTTGATTTAGTAGTATAAATTTTATAACAATTATTAAAATCACATTTAAATTGTTTTATTTGTGTATGAATTAATTGATGTGATGTTAAAAGATCTTTCTTTCGTGTTCTGTATTGACATTTAGGCCAAAAACAGTGAAAATAAT